CAAGCGGACACTGCTCCAAGGTCCAAGCCTCTTCTGACGCTGCAGCCACACCAGCAGCAAGCCGACCGTTTTCATCCTGCTAAGAAAAAGTTACCAAGAACAACAACCCCTCCACCAATACGCTTTGATGTACAATGAAACCACAAGGGTCCTCTGATGCAGAACCGCTCGAGGGCCTGTCATCCAAATCCTCAACTCACTGACCGAGCAATATCTCATTCAAAGAATACATATCTGCTGAAATCCACTTGATGCCATGTCAGGAGAAAGACTTGCATTGCTTCCCCAAAAAATACTTCTAAAACCTTTCAAATCTTGCACTCTGTTCTGGCAGGTCCTCTATTGAAGGATCGTTGACCGGTGTTTCCTCTTCTCCCTCCTTGAAACAACAAAGCAACATCAAAGGCTGTCTGCTGAGTCTCACGATTGAGCGCTGATCCATGAACAGCCTTAGATGTTTTCTAGGCTTTAAGATTGTTTTTGCACATTCAGTGGCACAGTATGTCTCCAGATGTCTCCAGTGTCATAGAATTAAACAAACTGACTCTACCTAATTTCCTATATAATCTCGCAATGCAAGTCCTCTTCTCCAACAGCTCGATGAATCGATGCTTCTTCCTTATTCAATTGATGTGGGCGCAAACTGCGAGCTTCAAACTCAAGTATTTATGGGCCACCTGAAGTTGGCAACAAGCGGACACTGCTCCAAGGTCCAAGCCTCTTCTGACGCTGCAGCCCCACCAGCAGCAAGCCGACCGTTTTCATCCTGCTAAGAAAAGCTACCAAGAACAACAACCCCTCCACCAATACGCTTTGATGTACAATGAAACCACAAGGGTCCTCTGGTGCAGAACCGCTCGAGGGCCTGTCATCCAAATCCTCAACTCACTGACCGAGCAATGTCTCATTCAAAGAATACATATCTGCTGAAATCCACTTGATGCCATGTCAGGATAAAGACTTCCTAACGTTCCCCCAAAAAATACTTCTAAAACCTTTCAAATCTTGCACTCTGTTCTGGCAGGTCCTCCACTGAATGATCGTTGACCGGTGTTTCCTCTTCTGCCTCCTTGAAACAAAGCACCATCAACTAAGTTGAGTAAGCACCTATCCTTGAGCAAGAAACCAAAGTCTTAAAAGTTTTGTAGGCTTCAAGGTCGTTTTTGTGCATTCAGTGGCACAGTATGTCTCCAGATGTCTCCAGTGTCATAGAATTAAACAAACTGACTCTACCTAATTTCCTACAGTATATAATCGCAATGCAAGTCCTCTTCTCCAACAACTCGATGAATCGATGCTTCTTCCTTATTCAATTGATGTGGGCGCAAACTGCGAGCTTCGAACTCAAGTATTTATGGGCCACCTGAAGTTGGCAACAAGCGGACACTGCTCCAAGGTTCAAGCCTCTTCTGACGCTGCAGCCCCACCAGCAGCAAGCCGACCGTTTTCATCCTGCTAAGAAAAAGCTACCAAGAACAACAACCCCTCCACCAATACGCTTTGATGTACAATGAAACCACAAGGGTCCTCTGGTGCAGAACCACTCAAGGGCCTGTCATCCAAATCCTCAACTCACTGACCCAGCAACTTCTCAGTCCAACAAGAATGCGCGTTCTCCCTCATAACCCCTGAATATTTTGTTTGGTCATAAGGTTACTCTCATAGCAACTCCAGCGTGGTCTGTGGGTGTCTGGTCCAAATCCTCCTTGGAATGTTGCGGGGAGTGTGAGCAATACAGTATTCCTTGGTGTGCCTGCTTGTTGCATGGCCTATCCACTGCCCTATCCCAGTGGAAAGACTCGTTTCAGCAGACGAGCGAATACCTATACCATGGCACTATGGGACCATGTGCCAGTCCTCCGCGGAACTATGAGCGCCTCTTTCGGAGGAGCTTTCCTCCTGGCAAAGATCAAGAGCCTACTACAGTAGAGGAGGGCACCAGACCAGTTACATTAGGTCATCATTCACATCAAGTTGAAGGCAAGAATTTCCAACTACGACTCCAAAACTTCCCCAATATATATTACATGCTGAGCCCTGCGTTCTTGCATGAGGAAGGATCATGTCGTCTATAACCCTCAATCTCCTGTCTATACAATCTTGTTGCAGCTATATGCACAGAAGTTCTACAACTTGTGTAATTAATCGACCCGCCCAGTTGCACACCAGCGAAAACTAACATCAACCCAAACAAAAACTAGTATGCAGCCTTGAATGCCAAAAAGGCCTTAAACAAAGGATGCTCACACAGGATCTTTTCTGGAATCAGTGTGCACTGCCGAAAGGACAGTACATAAGCTCTGTTGAGGCTTTGCAGAACGATGGGCAACAAACAATTCAGGTGGTCCTCTGCTGGACGCCGTTCGCTTCTTGATTCAACCATATCCTTCATTTGCCCGCAGTGTCCAACATTCCGCGTTCAGAGTGAGGCAATGCGCCGTCCATGTAAGAAACAAGAAATAATAAGAAATACCCATCCAGTAGGCCACCAAAGCACCGCTCCACGGCATTACAATTAGGACCGCCCGTTTTACACGCCATGCAGCAGGCACGAAACAGGGGATCATTCTACTAAAACGATCAGATAAGCAGGCTGTAGCTTTCCGGGACCTTTCGGTAGATCTTCCATGACCTGCCCTGGCCTGTAAATCTCGCAGGTGTAAATCCATCTGCTCTTGCCTTTCTCCTTTTCTGCGCACCTGAAAGGAGCAACCAGTCCAAGCATGATTGGTGCAAGCACATGCAAACACACTAAAGCAATACCGATATCAAATATCTAGCTTGCATCGTGTTTGTACATTGAGGCTGAATGTCTTGACAACCGTCAACGGTGCTCCATTAAGCGGACATGTGACGCTTGACAAGAACCATTCACCCGATCAAGGTTATGCCTTAGCTTGAGGTCTTCTGTCAGAGGGTCAACTGATGTGAAGCGCATTCGATCATGTGCATAGCGCCATAGCGCTGTTGACCACCCCTAAGATCTTGGGAACGAACCCGCCTGATCTTCAAGGTCTTCGATGCGTTGAAACACGTCCTCAGCCAGGTCTCGTTGACTGGTTGCTGCAAGGTGCACCTCAGCATGAAGCTGCGACAGTTGAGTTTCAACGCATGTTGAATTTCAAAAGTTGAGTTTCCCTTATCTCCTCATCTATGAATCCTGCGCGAATCCTTTACCCTTCTGCGTCCCTGTCACCCAGCTTCGTGTTTGCTACTCGTAGCGTAGCTCCGACAGCTTACGACTCACAAACACGGAAGTGGAACATGGCCCCTTGGAAGACTACTTAACCTTTATGAAAACAGAAGGTTCTCCACTTCCATATAGGTGAGTCGGAGTGCACCTCTTCTGTCAAAGTTATAAAAACGACCTCTCAAAAAGGGAAGGAAACAGGAAACAAAAGTACGGTCTCAAAAGACTGGTCAAAACGCCGAAGAAAGAATGAATGAAGACCGTCAGATAGTCAAAGACACGAAGACATACGAAGACTCCTTTTGTACCAGCCAGCCTTGCTATGGGGCGAAGCAGTCGATGCCAGCCATTCAAACAACGGCATCAAGCGGCTTTCGTTCGCCCGGCGCAGAACCGAACAGAATGCCCCGGGTCTTCGAGATCCCGCCGGATGAAAGCTCAGGTTGAAACTGCTGATGCGAAGGAGTACAGCCACGTCACATTCAATTTCTCGGTGCCATTCGCTTTACCGAAATGTGGCCATGACGACCAACCAGATCTTGTTTACTTTCTCTTGTGCTCGCTTCGCAGGGCACCTGAGCATCAATTTCTTTGCAGCGGTCGGCAAAGTCTTCTTCGAGGTAGCTCGTGTTCTCCACGCCTCTCTGCACCTGGAATGTATGTTTGGTTGGAGTTGGAGCCTTGGCCAGAAACAATGTCCAGAGACCGAAGAAAGAGGTCTGGTAAACGGCAAGCATCGGTAAACGATACAATGATGTTGGCGGCCAGTATGTTCAACAGGGATTTCTAGAATTCTGAGGTTGCAGATAGGCCTTTGCAGCTGAGCTATTGACGAGTGATTTGAATATCAGTCTTACACCAAAACAAACGTCGGTTCAGAAACAAGCCCTCCATCCCTCTCTTTGGCTGTGCCTGAAGCTCCAAGTCTTTCAAACGATTGAATATGTCATCTTCAAGACCCTTGTGATCCTCTGTGGCACGTTGAACCTGCGATGCTTTCGGCGCTTCTTTACTTGCAATATTTTCTTGATTTGATTCTGCTGTCCAGTTCCAACAAGTTTGGCACTTTGATTCTTCAGGTGGCTATTAAGCATTGGTTGAAACGAACGGAAATGGTGCCCCTTTTGACCTCCAGCCTTGAACAACTTGCATAAACCCCAAGGCGCCTGCAGCTCAAGGATCTCAATGCGCTCTAGCAGCTCTCCGCTTTGTGAGCTCTGCGTGATTTGCAACTCCGACCCTTGAGAGCCCTGGCGAGGCAATGCCCAGGCAACGAGACATCGCTGCGGCAGATTGACGGCCTGGCCCGACCCGCCTGGATCTGCGAGTCCTCTCGGAGGAATTGCCCTGTCAAGAAACATGCGAGAGATATGAGAAAAAGGGGCGACATGATGAGAGAAATGCTGGTGTCAATTGTCTTGTGCGGTCTACTAATACAAAACATGTTTGAATTGAGCAGAAGTCTTCAAGCCAGGCCTCCTTGACTGTCCTCTCTGGAAAACTCGGAGGTCAATAGGCTGTCAACCTCAGGCTTCACAAGAACTGCTTAGGCACCAGGATTTGATAACATCTTTCGTATGCAGGGAAGATTGTGTGCGTGCAAACATGCATGGCTTTAGGCAATCAGGTGGTATTATTGCGCTCAGTGAAATGTGTGTGTGTCAGAAAGAAGACAATCTTCCATACAAAGGTTGTTACTGTAGATTCATACTACTGGGAGGGGGAAAGGGAAGAAGCGGAATCCCCAACAATCAACTGGCTTTGCACAGCACCCGGCCGTGCTGGCATCTAGATGGTCGCTTGAAGTGGATATGCAGCTTGGACCCAAAGTTAGATCTGAGCCTTGTCTCTCAACTTAGCCACCAGTGTCTCAAAAGCATTCATTCATTCATGACTGCATGCTCCATGTCCTTCGCGTAGATGCATCTTGGATCCGCACTCTATAGCTGCCTGCATTGCCACTCGATGTCTTGCCACTTGATGCCTGTCCGTTTGCTGGAGGGACGTGTTGCTTCAAGCCTAAGTATATACCCAGGCCACATACAGTACCGACCAAAGTCTCTCTGAGCCAGATGCAAAAATAGAAGAGCATGCACAGGAGCTACTAGTAGCGTCCGATCGCTCCGTTCGTAGCGATGCCCTTTGCTACTAGTGGCTTCTTGTTACTAGTAGTGAGACCAGGAGCGCTTTTAGTAGCGTTCTTGCTTCTAGTAGCATGCACATAGTACCTAAAGCTTACTAGGACAGCCCCAAGTGAGTTACTTCTCTTTTTGTCATGGGCAGCCCGTTTTTTATGTTCATGCAACTCTCACCTTTCGCCAGTGAAGCTCTTTCCGAAGCTCTTCAATCACCTGCCATCGAATGTGAATCGTTTGGGCGAATGTAAGAACTCCACAGAAGTATCTAAGCACAACCAGTCACAACCGGTGTTCACATCTGCACTTTAGCACCTACCTACAACATCTGGTGTCACATGGTTGGTGCTTTCAAAAGGGGGAAACAGGGGACAGCTGTTGACCTGCTGTAGTCCTTCAACCTGTTGCAGCATCACTATATACGTAATTACTCTTCACAGTTGGTACAGTCGGCAAATACTATGCGTCAAGATGCATCAAACATATTTAAAGAATGTCTTGACTTAGCAGTCTCAGCATCCTGTCTAACAATATCGGAGCCATGTTCGTTGAATCCATTTGCAGCTTGGGCCAATACTGCTTGTGTCGAAAGTCGCCGCTGCACAGTCTCCTGCAATTCGCGTGTCAACTGGTCTGTGGACAAATTCATGTGGCTCTGGATCAACTCCTCAGAGACGTGCTTCACCTTTTCTTGGAGTTGTGCCACAACCTGCTCAACGATGACATACTAAAGTTCTGGCAAGTCGTGGCCATTGTTTCAGGATAACTCACCGAAAGAGGAATCAAAACCAAGGTGCCAACGTTGTCCGTCAAAACAAACTTGCTGACGTTTTCCTGGCAGGTAAAGCGTTCAGTGTGCGGGCATCATTCCAGGCTGTGTTACACTGTTGCCCAGGCGCCCAGAACAACCCTCAGCCGATCTCATGATTTTGTAGTACTTCAGCATAGCAAAATAGGCAACACCGGCAACGCACCTCGGCAACGATGTCAATCTTCTCTTGGACTTGGTTCATGACCTCGCGAATGCATCAAACTGCCACTCCAGGAGCAAGCAGCCACCCCTATTACGAGTTGCTAGTTTGTGAGAAGCTCAAACTACGGTGACAGTCACCCTGGCTGCCTGGCTGGATGAATTGAATGTATACATTACAAATGTGTATTGTTATACATGTCTTTTGCAAGATGAGTTTTCAGGAGATCTGGAAAGCAGTTCCAACGCGAACGATGCGGCCATATCGGACAAATAAAACGGCCAATAAACCGTCACCTCTAAAGCAAAGTCTATCTTCTCCCGGACATTTCTCGAGGCCTGGCAGTTGCAACCAGCAAAATGCCTGTTCTGGTCCTCAATATTCTTGACTTCGGAATAGCGAAGTCTGGGCCCTGCCCCGTCCCCACTCATTACTACTGTATGAAGTACAAACAGAACAAGCACCACCATACTCTCAGAACAGCCAAGGAATTTCAAGTGCAGTAAACTCAACCGCCTCTTGGCTGGACTGTTGTATCAGCTGCAGTTCAGCGAACTTTTGGTTTATCTCTTCCTGCAAAGGCAAAAAGCTTAAAGCACGGGCTACATGGGCTACGTTTGCAAGTGAGTTCAGGTATGTCGTCCGTGTTTCGATTATCAGGAGTCATTCCGGACAAAGGGCCTCTCTGTATCACACAAGAGGTATTTGAAACGAAAAATGTGGGATCATGTGGGGTCACTGGCTGTAGCCATTGTTAGCAAAGATTAGTGTCCACTGTGGCCTTTACTATCAGGAACACTACTAGCACAAGTAACAGTGCGAGCAGCAAATAAAGTTATCGGATTTTTTGGGTAGTAACAAGTTGGTTTTAGAGGTTTAGTCTCTAGGTACGAGTACAGTACACATCATTACAAATGCATTGGCTCTGGAACACATGGCTGGTGGCTGACTTGATGGCTGATTATTATGAAACTGTTGCTGAATCTTATGCGCACGTCCTGGTCGTGAGCTCTGAGATCTTGAGCTGCCTGCAAATTGAGCAATAGTTATATGCCGGGGGCTCATTTGTTTCCAAAGCTTTGCTGATAGCTAGAAATGAAGTCGTTCAGCAAAAACCGGCTGAAAATCACTGCAGCTTCTATCTGCATACCTTCCGTTCTCGCGCCATCTCGCCGAAGGCATCGATTCTTAGAGCCTGGTGGTTGTGCCATTCCCCGTTTCAGCCGATAGTTGTGGCGGTTTTTGTACTTTGCAAAGTACGTTTTTCTATTCAGCTCCATGGCATTGAACAGTCTCATATGACACAGCATGTTTGAAAACTGAGGAACCTATAGAAACCTAGGATCTAGCATGTCTGGAAGTCATTGGAAGTCGGCCTTTGGTGTGACTCAGCATGTTCTGACAATCCCCTCAACTAGTGAGCAAGTCTCTCTCTCTCTCTCTCCTTCCTAGCTTGCTCGTTGCATTCGATGCGTTCCATCACTCGCTGCTGCACGTCCTACAGGAAGGGTAGCATTGGCCATGAGCTGAGATAGAAGTTACTGACAACATCCGAATTTTCGTAGAACAGCTGCAAAGTGACCCAAGGAACTTCATATTGTATAGGATTGTATAGGCGGATTGTTCGTGTTGCTCTATCAGAGCAACTTTTGCCTGATCTGATCGGTCACCATTTACATGGGGTAACCTGCGGCTGCAAAAAAAATTGGAGCTCTCCCAAATTCCCGTTCAGAGAAGAACCATTCCCTGCAAATAATGTAGGCTCATGTGGTTGTTTCCCTAGGGCAGCCTTAACTTTTCAGGGGTCTTGCTTTGGAACTTGTTCATTCTTTCGCGAAGACGCACAAACTCAAGAAAGTCTTTGTTCAGCCAACATGAATGCTGTGGGCGCTGTAAGTGTGTTTTTGGTATGAGCGCCTGTAGGAGCGCGCCAGGTACGTCACTTTTGCACATTCTCTGGGGGGGTGGAGTAGTCAACCACGGTCCATACAGGGGTTAGGCGGGGTTGGGAGTGTAAGAGAGTGCAGGCTAGCAGTGTCTTTTGTGGGCAAGTCTATGTTCCTTGAGACTGGAGGAAGCAGAGTGCTTCCAGCCGCACCTACGAGTATGTAGAGGGAGTGTTTTTTTTCAAAGCCAAGGCACGAGGAAGGGCTGATGGAACTAAGTGAAAAGGAAGAGAAAAGACTTTACACCTTCCTGACCGAGTGCCCGTTTGGCACCTCCGATGTCGGAAACAGAAACACGCTAGGCTGATCCAGCAAACTGACGGTGAAATGAAATAGCGGATAATAACGAAGGCCACTCACAAAGTGGCAAGAGCAAGGTTAAAATAGTCGATTTCTGGCATCTTGCAAAAGTTGGTATTGTTGTTCCGGGGTATTGGTGTATGCACTTTCATGGTTTTTCTTCCAGCAAAGATCTAAAGAGGTCACCAACCAATTCTTTCTGGGTCGCCCCGGTCTTCTGAAGAGAGGTGTATATGGGACGGCACTGTCCCTACGAAAACTTACCTGTCTCATGGGATCGCGATTGTCAGTTCTCAAAACGTATCCAGTAAGTCTAACCCTTTTTTCATGCAAACACTTTTCGATGCACCAAGTTAACTTGGGAGAGGGTTATCTCTGGATGCAGCGGCTGCATTAGCCCTACGGTAGACTTCGGCATTCGTATTTCTGCGGTCGATGAATGTGGTGTGCATGTTTAAGATCTTTCGAAGGCCGCGTAGTTGGAAACTTTCGAGTCTAGAAAGTAAGGACTGCGTCAACTCCACCGTTTCAAGTCCATATAAAAGCTTTGAACGGATCATGCTATTGTAGACAATAAGCTTCCACCTGACAGGACAGCTTGCGTTTTTGAAAAACATGTGCATTCGTTTCCATACGGCCATCGTTGCAGAAATCCTGCTTTCAACTTCAGCTCGATTATCTACATGTCGTGTGAGGAGCCCCCCCGAGGTATGAGACATGATCTTCATGTGGCATACGGGTTCCGTCCCTAAACCTGTAGAGGGAGTGTACTGTGTACTATTATAGTCCGAGGACAGACCCACACAACATGGGGGCGCCGGGGCAGGGGCAATCACGTGGATGTCTTACGCTTCCGCGCACATGGTCCAGTCTTTTGAAAGCCAACCAGACGGTTGGTAAGGTTTGTGCATACAAGACGTATAGAGACGTGATGGTTTTGATTTGCTGTTTTCGCTTCGAGTGATGAACATCGAGGATGTAGCTGTGGTCTATGTCTTGGTGTTGTTTACCAAAACCTTTTGGTTTTTCCGAGTACATATTATCAAGACCAGTTCACCAAAGAGTCCTTGTACCGTGCGATCAGCCACCGAAACCACAAAAGTTGGAAAATATGTTGAGTCAAGAGCCGCTGAAACAAAGTAAACCAAAAAAGAAAGTCCCAAACGTCAGGGGCCTTTGATGACTTGTGCCTGTCCTCCAAGCTCTTTGAGCGCTTTCTAGTGTCTTCCTTGAACTCCTCGTCTTCTTCGGCAAAGATTTGATGAGAATCAGTGTCAACCATCCCGGTGAACATCCCAAAATTAGCCAAAGAAAACCCTGATATTGTTTTCGGTCTATGTTCCGTCATGTGTTCCAGTAAGAGTGTTTGATTTGCTCCGGGTTTACACATGTTCGATGAGAATCCTGGAAGGTCGTAATAAGATGTAGTTAGTTGCACCCTTTAGTATCGTTTACAGTACCTGACTCATGCCAATTGATGAAGCGTATCCTTTTGCGAAAGCATCGTCTTCGCTGCAGCCCCAATTGCTGACTTTGCTGGGGAATCTCCCATGCGGACCCGCAGTCCTCGATGTATTGCTTTTGTAACTCAATTTGTTCTTGAAGGTCTTTCCCCAAGGCCTGGCCAAAGCCGTGACAAGCTTGAGGACCCCCCGTACTAGAATCAAAGCTGAGCTGAAGCAGGCGTTGTAGACTTCCATAACGGTGGCCTTGTATCGGTTTGTATTTGTTTTACGAAGTCTTCGCAACAACTTGTGAAATAGTTGTAATTTGTCATATATATATAGTTCCACTGCACGTAAATAGAGAGCATAAAGATGAAGAGCAAGTCAAGGATTCTCTGGGCAGCTCTCTCGCCTGCGTCTTTGCCTTCGTGTCGAATTGACATCGTGCCTAGGGTGCAAAGACACAATTACAGAGTGATTGTAACTTCCAGAGGAATGGAGGTGTTTCATGAAAAGAACAGAATATCACTTCCAGGCACTCCCTTGGCATCCTTCCCCCCATCTGGACAAACCGGGGCCCCCTGCAACGGTCCAAGTGGCCTCTTCCACCTCAGTGTTTGGTCTCACGTCAAAACAATGCCGGATTTCTGCCATGCCATGCTGCACAGCCCTGCACCTGCCATGCCCTGCGCACAGTCCCCGCACCCTGCCTGAGTGGTCAGGACCTTCATGCGACTTTCGGAGTCCTCGATCACCCGCATCAACAACGGAAGTGTTCTTGGCCGCAACCATCTCGTAACCAAATTTAGTTGTTCATGTCCCTATGTTCCACTGAACCACAACAGAACATGCCTATAGAACCATAACAGAACATGCCCATAGATTATCAATTTGGAAGGTGACTTCGATCCCACTTCAGTGATGCTTGCATTTTGTTCACACAACAAAATCAAGCAAACAATGTCCTTCTGCACATCCAAGACTTGAGCGGAGCATTCGTGTAGGCCATGGCGCACTGTTTCCTGCAGAAATCGTACGAACAAAAGCCCCCAAGTGACAACAAGCAGTTGCGAAGTGACGGAATTCTCAAGAGCAGGGTAGGCAACAACAGGTTCTTGCTGCCAGTCGAAGGAAGCTTCCAATGTGTGTGTGCGTGTGTGTGTTATTAAAAGCTGTGGACAAGTCTGTCTTTCGACGGCATGGGGAGGATTCAAAACGCATTGTTGGGGCTGCACAGGCTAGAAAAATGAGAGGTATTGAAAGTTTGAGTAGACAGAGAAAGAGAGAGAGAGAGAGGGAAGTATCAAAAAGTTGTCTTCACTCACAAAGCACAGAAGCGGGTGTTCGTCCCCCTTTTCCTAGTGCGTGTGTTGATGTGCGTTTTGTGATATGGCTTGACTTGTGAGGTGAAGGGTCTGATGATGTCGATCTGATGTGGTGACCTCTATATAATGAAGCGTGGTGTTGTGGCGGCCATCGCTAGTAGGTTGGAGGCCATCGCTAGTAGGTTTGTTGCTATTTGTTGCTAATGTGTTGTTGTGACCTGTGACCCATGATGCGGCACATTTAAGAAAAAAAACACGCGTACTCATGCCTGCTGAGTCGGCGAGTTGTGAAGTGGCGAAGTGTAGTGCGGTGATTCATGTTGTGATAACATGAGGAGATCGACTTGTCGATCCTTTTCTCATCTTTTCTGGAAAATCTTCACGTCTCTTCTTGTGTTTCTCTTCTTTCTCATCGAGCACCGTCGCTCCCACCGCATTCTCCGGACAAACGCGGATCGGCGGATCGGTGGTGTTTTGATCGAGAACCCTGTCATGTCCACAAAAGCCTATGATTTGGCAAATCTCCCCAAATCCTGATCTGAATGTGCAAAGCAAGAATAGCTTTTGGGCACATTGCACAAATTGTGATGCAACGCGAGCGCATCCTTCACCGTATTTTGCTCATCCTCCAGGTGGCCCATGGTGTCCTATGTCATTCATCGTGCCACGTGCGAAGCCCGAGTACGAAAAATCGGCTGGCAGAATGGTCTGTGAGCATATGTCACATTCTGTCACATCTCAATGAGTGCAAAGAGAGGTTCATGAGACAAACTCAGGAGGTTCATGACACTTCAGGTATCTTTCAAACCGCTCTGGAAGCTTCTGGCGCATGCAAGAAATCCTGCCAGTCGAATTTGCGTCTCCTTCATGATGCTAAAGTCACGCAAGAGGCTTTGTAAAAGGACTGCTAAGCGGATGAGTTCTTTCTCAACCTGGAGTGGACAAATGAACACATGAGTGTTCAGGAGATTCACACATCATAAGATCATAAGATCATCATAAAATCCCTTCAAGGTCTGTGGTGTGGTGAATTGCTTTTCTACGGGTCAACAAAAGAACAACAAACCGCCTCGACTCCACTCATCCGCCCATAGAAGCGGTCCTGCGCGGGATACAAAGGCCATTGCTACTCCGGCGTTTTCTTTCGGCCCTGAAGGCCTTGTCTACACTGGACAAACCATGTACTGAGGCCAAAAGGATGACATAGTGACAGTATGTAAGAGTTCTCTTTGCAATACATGTCTGACATTGTCTTAGATAGCTTTTTGGTTCTACATACAACCCCCAGGACCTGCAAGGTGCTGCCAGGTGCTAAGCAAGGACAAGGAATGGTTGATGATGGTTGATGTAAATTCCTTTCTATACAAGCTTGGTTCAGGCTTCAAGCAACAATCCCCGGCCTTGGCATCAAGACCCAGATTGACACCTGCACTACCTTCCATACGGGCCATGTTCATGCAAACCCAATGAAGTGCATTGAAATGTGGGAACAAATGGTACAAAAGCCAGCACCAGTTGGTCAGTTTGGTGCGGCCAGTTTGGTTGAAATGTCTTTGGGAACGAGAACTGAAAAGACATGTTCACGTGAGACACGTGAAACAGCAACTCTCACACGGCTCATGCCTGGATCCAAATCTGGCACCACACCATCCTGCACAAGCTGCCGGCGATGTAAACAATGCACGTTGAAATGGCTTCATGCAAACTGCAAACTGGTACAGAAAGGATTGTGGTCCTAACTGCAAAGGAACTGTCATTGATTCACTATATAGTATAATAATCAATAGCGTGCTATTATATACGTACATAAGACAAACAGTTGCTCAGCAAATTTGGCAGATTGCAACAGCATTCAAGCGTTGACTGGGGCCTCATCAACCGGCCATGTCTCTGCCACTTCCAGCACCTGGCAAAACGTTCGGCCAGAAAATATTTCACTACGACACCAGGTGCCCAACCTCTTGTAGAAGGCCCGTTTCGGTTTCAGCATCTGCAACCTGAATTCCAGAAAGGAATTCCGCTCAAAAACGGATGATTTCTGATGCACACCCTGAGTTTTGATGGCTCAAACTTTTGTATGTTCGGAGCAGATGTGAAAACACAAGGCACGGACCTCTTGGTCTTGGCCCAAGTGCTTTCTATCTGGAGAACCTCAAATCTTGGAGACTGCAGTGGCAAATTGATGACATTGCTCAAAAATCAACATCGGGTTAGGATGCATAATATAGGTACTATATATATATATATGATTAAATGCCGATAGCGAAGTTCTGCCGTTTAAGTTAACGTTGAACTGCTGACAAACCATTCAGTAGTACAAGATCCAGATCGGTGTCCCCCCGCGGAAGACAAACATGCGTTTCAAAAAAATGGTAAACTGGTAAACCATTGCTTCCTATCCTGTTTGTGTGATGCTGATGCTTTAGTTTCTTGCCGACTTTGAGGTCTTGCATTGTTCAAATGGAAACAGAACAGAAATGGTTATTCGTGGGAACACCAATTTTCTTTCCCGTTCAGTGACGCGCCTTACATGCCCAATCTTATCTTCCAGCGCAGGTGTTTAGGTCAAGCTTGAGTTTAGGCAACTTAAACAGGAACCCTTCAAACAAAAACCGTAAAGGGGTATTTTCATCGTGTGTTTCTTTTGAAGCGTGTTTTGAGTCCGTTGCTTGCGGCGTCGTTGTGTCCAAAGTGCAAACAGTGGTAAGTGATGCTTTACTGTTCTGTAACATGTTGATCATCTTCAAGCCTCATCTCCAGTGCCTTTTGCAGAGTATGATGACCCTGCATTATGTTGCATTTAAGCGGACTCCAAACTCACAAATCTCCAAACTCACAAGTACCTGGTTGGTTAGGGACCTGCATGTTTTCGTGCTGTTTGAACTTTGTCCAACCATGTGCAACCTATATATGTTTGCTTATATTTGCTCCATGTTGCAGATGCTCCGAGTTCCCTAAAGCATCTGTGCTTTCCTTGGTTTGCTATTTTGAATAGTATTGCAATCCAAACTTGAAATAAACTGCATCAATTGAATACTTTCTTGACCTAATTGACTATACCCTTTCCACAAACTTGCACACAGTCAAGAGATTGAAATCCCACCTGTGCGACATGTCATGACATTTCAGTGCCCATCTCTCGCTCTTTGATTCTCAGGTGCCCGGCTACAACATGTCTTTGACTCGGCCAGGTTCGAGAGTTGCTTCAAGGCTTTGGCACCTGAGCCGACACCTTTTTGATCGAAACTCTTCGAAGAGTTTCATGTCAATTGGAAGTCCGGCAAGTCAATGTCGGCTGACACTTTGTAATTATGCTTAAAAACACATGGTGCAAGTCATGCTCACGGATGCTCGCGGTCTGTCTGAAGGTCAAATTCTCGAGGAAAGAGTGGTGCACAGGTCTGCCAGTGTTTTGTTGCTTGATGATTGTGAGCGTCTATTCTATTCTATTCCCAATGCGACACCAAGACCCTTGTCACATCGATTCTTGTTCTCCTTCCGCCTCGAACTGGTCGAGGGTCTTCCTTCCATGTCGGTGTCATCAATCGAGAGCTTTGTACAAGGCGGCAGGTCTCACCTCAGCCGTCGACTTTGTGATGTTTTTATGTGTCAGTTCTAAGCTGTATGCATCATTATATAATCTCCCATACATGTCTCCATCTCAGGAAAATTGGGATCTGATCGATGCTGGGCTTGTGCAAAAGGCTCTTTTTGAAATCCACCGTGTAAGGGCTCGCTTTGGAGCCAACCTGGCGACAAAACTCCGGAGCTTCCCGACTTGTTCATCACTTTTCAACTCACATGCGACGCAACAAAAAAGTACTGTAGACTGCGTCCGCGTATCGACAATTGCAGATCTGTCGTGTGGCTGTTGCGCAGCTTGGAACACCACAGCTACATCCTGATCAAACATCCCTGCTAACAAATAGAGCCTAAACTGCGGTTGTCCTGTGTCTTCTTTCCCTGCCTGGATCACTTGGTTTACCCCAGGCATCGGCTGAGATCATCGAGAGCTCCTGGCAAGTATTCCGCATCGAGTCCAAAAAACATACCGAAGTACCGAAATGTCTGGAAGAATTTGAAGGTCCTCAAAAAGTCATGCTGTAGAGCATCTTCAGGAGCCAGTCGCTGCGCAGGTTCCGGCACCAAACATTTGCCTTGGCTTCAGAAAAGCAAACAGACTCAAACCACATTTTCCAGCAGATGTCGGTTCGTAACTTCTCGTTTGTTGAAGTTGAAGTGTTCAATTCTTTCTACTGTCAATATCAGCAAACTTGCAAACCAATCCAAAACAAAGGTATAAAATGGCATATTTGCCTCGTCAAATGCTGTAGCAGTCGGTGCAACACTTCTTCACAGTTTTGATGCCTTTTAATCAGCTCGAAGCAGCCATTGGTCGAGTCTAGCCAGGTGCCTACGCACAGTTTTGAAAAGGAATACAAATGAAACATGTTGAAGCTAAATAAGACGATCGGCTTAGAAGACCAGCGAAATGATCCAGCCGCACATCCTGAGGCAAGGCAAAGTCTGAAAGCTGTGTGGCGATGCGGTCAAGGCAAATCTGTTGGAAAGAAGGCTTGTAACCTTAGAAGGCAATACGTTGAACAGTGTGATCATGATCCCTCATCATTGGCTAATTTGTTGCCTGTCGTTAGTCATTCGAAATACACCAATTGGAAGAACATCTCATCCCAAGGAATTGTGAAATGGACTCACAACAATTCAACGGGATCAAAAGACTAAAAGGATGTCAAATCGATAGCATTGTTTTCCTTTCTATTCCAAGTAGTTCGACTCCCCATTCACAATTGTGTTCATATGTGTTCATGTTTTCTGCGCAGTTCTTCTCTTGCGTCCTCCAACTTTTCTCGCAAACGCGACAGAAGTGGAGGCTTGGCCGGCTTTGCAAATCGGCGCATGGGCAGTAGTTGCCTTAGGCATTTGGATGGCAGTCAAAAAGGCTTCTTAAATGCTGAAGAGAATGGAATCTTATCATCTTCTGATAGAAAGATAGGACAAAATAGGACGAACTCAGTTCTGCGATCTTCACATCACCCTGGTCTCTTGGTCATCTCTTGGTCTCTTGGTCTCTTTCTGCGGTGCCTTCATCACTATGAATTGGTTCTGGCATTGGTAGCCCAACACAAACCAAAAACAATATATGGTGAGCACACGGACTCAACAGATTCAACCGGTCACAAAACAGGGTCAAACTTCAATTGTGCACCCCTCGCAAAAACATGCAAAAACGTTCACAACGTTCTCTCTGTTGTGTCGAGCGGAGCTAAGCCACTCGTTGCCGTCAGTCTTTCTTCTCTTGAAGTCACCCTCAGAGCTTCGCACAGGCAAGGAGAGAGCCAACTATACATGCATGCACAAGCAACACTGGCATGATATCAAATCAAGCCAAACACACGTGTACAGTCAGTCAGGACTTGCCTCAATGCTGAAGTGTTTCAAAGAATTTTTTCCCACCTCAGCTCCAATGGCGCTGTGCGAGTTGCTCGGTTTGGCAGCTATGCACGTGCAACTGAACCCAGAAGGGATCAATCACAGTTGGGCCGTTTGGGAAGTTCCTCGTGTGCTGCCGGGTTGTGAAGGAATGTGAAGAACACACTAGAGAGCCCGTAACTTGCAGCCATCTTTGCAAACCGTTTACACCAAGAAGCTGTTGCGAATGCCTTTTTGAAAGGCCCGCACGTCTTTAGCATGTCCTTGGTGCATGGATTATTCAAGACACCACATGAAACAATAAGTCTGCGAATCCATTCATGCTACATGTATTGCGAGGCAGGATTGGAAAATAGACTGAATCGATGCTCTTGTCGGCGTATTTGGCCGGGCAACATAAAGCATAGTATTGTTGGAGCTTTCCTGAGTTGCAAACTGTTGCAAATCACACTACCTCTCATGTTGGCTCACCAGAGCCAGTCTTCTAGGGACCATTCCGGCCGCACCAGGGTTGTCACTTGAGTTACAGCCTCATCAACAGCACAAGCAATGATTAAAGGCAGTCTTCAGTCTTTCATGAAGAAATGGAAGGTGCCTGTGCCAGTGCCATGTCATGTGTTTTGTTGTATTTTGTCTTTCAATTTAAGTGCAGTATTCAGTATAGCATGTCTATCTTCAGGGTACCTGGCCTGTGTCTCCATCCCTGTTGGGAAGACGCTGGTTCAAACGAGTGTGTCCTCCTGGGTTTATCAATTCTTTACAGAAACCACTTCTCCTAAGCCAAATGTATCAAAAGTTAAAGGATACAATTTCATGCCATTTCCATATAGACAGGCAGTAGGTGCAACAACATAAAGTGAAAATCACCATGGTGCAAATCTCTTACCAAAACACATTTCTCTACGCAGTAGTACAGAAATTGTACTCGTCGAATTGGGGGATGCTATCGGTGTTTGATTCACAGGGACATCCGCATCGGCAAAAGCAAGAAAAAGCCCTATCGAGGTCAATTGAGCAATCTTCATGACAACATATGTAGATGTTGATAGATGGTAACGTCCAGATCATGAGACTGCCAATGTAATTCGACCACTCTGGTGTTCTCTGAGGGGCCGCAAATAGCACTCGTCCATCTGCCAGCTCAAACAGTGTTGCCGCAGCACTCCACATATCTGCTCGGGTACTGTACCTTGGAAGCCACCCCTTACCCGTTAACACAAACCAAAGTCGTGCAACTGATTGGGCTCGGTACATCCAAGAAACTACCAAAGTAGTGCCAGGCTCCAACCGGACAAACCCTTGCACACATATCCTTCAATTTTCCTAGGCAAGATCTTTGCGTCTCCAGCACTGACCAGTACTTGTACAGAATTTTCTTCAGAATAAGATGCGATTGCCCCAGAATGATCTCTGGAGCACGATAACCTCAGCCAAACACATCTCAGAAATCATCCTAAAACCAAATGTACTGCATCCATCTTGGTGTCATTTACGTCGTCTATGATTGTTTATGCCAGTGTTGACAGCGCAATTGGCCTCCAATCAAATGCCATGACGAATCGCCTTTTGCGCTGAGGCACAAGTGCCACCTATGTGTGCAGGAAAAAGATTGAAAACAGGTGTCATGGCTATTCCACCTGCAAGGAGCTGCTGGCATAAGCTCTCCGGATGTGTTTGATTTGCACTTCGTCTTGGGTATCAATCGCACCTGTCAGCACAGTCAGCACAGGTGTTGTGACGTGGCTTCCCATTGTACTTCTCTCTCAAGTCTTAAGTCAGGTGCAACCGTGCAACCTGTTGGTCAATCCGTTTGCCAACAATGGTCAGCACGTGTGGGGTTGAAACGCTTGGAACCAAGAGTCATTCTTAACATGGTCCTCCTCAAGCCTGTGCAATGGCTGTTGCTGTACACCAAGTCACAACCAAAGTCGGATAGTTTCACCGACTTTTTGTCCAAAGACATCAAGAGGTTGTCTGGCTTGATATCTGTGTGAATGATCCTGAATGCAAAATGGTCACTAAATGAAAACGGCGGATCCATTCATTGCCACTTGAACCTTCTGCTTTGTTTAAAGCTTGAATGCCAGGAGTGGCATACAAACAGATGTCAAACAAATCTCAAACATAGTCTGTCGCACTCAGTACAGGAAAAAAAAGAATCAATCATCATTGAATCTCCTGATGGCACGAAGAGCACGCAATGCGAGAAACAAATCCCCAGCATATCGCTCCAAGTCCTGCAAAAGGCCGAACTCGAAGGTAGAAAAAAACACTGGTCAGCACCACAAAGAGTGCAAATCAAATGTACAAAATTGCATAAACGTCCGCAAATCGAGAGAAGAGGTGAGATATGTATTATGGAGTGTAATGAAAGACCCTTATAGGGTCATCTTTTCTGATTATGTTTTTACCTTCAACCTCCTTCACCGCTCCGGTCAGACTGCTTGCGATCTCTTGAAGCGCCACTAGTCTATGGGTTCTGCTGCAGAGACCACATATTCGGCCAAGAAGGCAAGCATTTGAGGAAGCTTTCAGTTGGCTCAATTGAACTGCAGGGCCACACAGCATGAGTTGGCAAAGCCATTTCGGGGGATGCACCTATCATAGTCCATTTGCCGACGGATCACTCGACCGGAACCCGACCGGTACTGAACGGCCGATGGTGGTCGAAGGAACACCGCGAAGGCCACGCCTGCAGCGGAAAGCCTCGGCGTTCTCCCAGGCGCCGGAGGGCCGTGCGCAAGTCATAACGCCTCGACCCACGACGGGCCGCGTCGGTGGGTGGTCGGGGTGGACGACGGAGGCGGTACGCTGCCCGCGTCAGTCATGGCCCAACATGCCACGGCGTGCGATGGCGACAGCACGGCGGCAGTTGGGATTGTTCAGTCGATTCGCTTACAACTCATGATGCTGTTAAATCAGCTTGCGAGAGCTGTGCAAGCAAATAATGCACACAAATTCTTCACAGACTAGTAGATGTCATTGGCCGTCCAATTTCTGGGAGACTGACATTGTTGCCCTACTGCCCCTACTTGCCTCAGCAACCCTATGGTTTCCCCAGGTGAACGGCCGTTGCACCATCTGCAAGTACGGTGAAGCCTGGCTACCCAAGGCAGCTCTGGGGTGTGTACTGCACATGTAGAATATAGAAGAGTTATAAAGTGGCTGTTCCCAAGTCAAGCGTCTGCAAATGGAAGATCAACGCCAAGTGCCTTGACAACTGCAGGGGAACGATCACTTCAACTTGATAGTAAGCAAGAATCGTGGGTCAAATCGCAATAATTGACCTACCACCACAGCTCTAGTAGGCAATGCCCAAAAGTTGTATTAGAGGGTCACGAGGCACTACAGTACAAAGCAACAAATGAGTTCAATATCTTATTCGGTTGTGTTCTGAAGCCAAAGTGTCAAACTTGAGAACAGGAAACAAGCTGTCAATGTATATATTTGCGTTGCAAGGTCAAGGAGGTGTCAAATGTTTAAAGCATAGATCCTCTCCTGTTTCAAAGCCAGGCTGCCCATGGTGCATGAACGTCTCCTAAGATGTATCGCAAATGGTATTTACAAGCACTGGAGCTTCAAGAGTAACTCAGAAAGCCCTAAATGCTTCAAAGACAGCCAGCTTCTTGAGGTTCTGTTGAGACCTTCTCAGTGATTATTTTTCTATAATGCTATATTGCAAGATTCAAAACCCACACGGAAGCCTCTCCATCCAAGTCTCTACCCCAGCGAGGCCCAGCAAGCAGTTGGCCCCTTCCGAATCCTTCTCAACCGCCTGCGTCACTGAATCGTCGGACAAAAAGCTACCACCCCGGAAAGCAAAGCTGCAAGGTCACGCTCTCTCCTCAAAAATAGCATACATTAAAATACACTTATCTCTTTTCAGACACGATTTCGTCTTGTCCAAACTCCATGTGATGAATGGCACTCTTGAGCAGCTTTGAACCAGCTTCCCCCATGGGACTCCTTGGTTCTGATGCGCCGCATCAGCCGAACTTCAGCCCTCGGACAAGCATGATAAGCAAGGATTGACGGCGGATTCGCTGACCACTAAACATTTGACATGTATCCCAGGACGGGATGGGGGCACAGTTCAAGGTAGACAGCGAACAAGAACCCTGTAGGTTAACATTGCAAAAGATAAAAGCAATGTCTGTGTTAGTCCCCTTAGAGCTTTCACAGCCGCGTTCTGTGCGTATGCGAAGCGCATGGAAGCTGCCAAGTGTCCTGCTAGGTCGTTGGTGTTGCTAGATGATATCCACAGCCATGAGGTGTTGCAGCTTCACCCATGAAAGAAGAAGAAAAGGGCGGCTACATGTCTTTTTACCCCAAGACTTGTAGTCTCGATTAAACTAAACCTTGGAGACATGTTATGTCGCACTAGTGAGAGTTCACAAGACTCATTACCTTTGACTAGGCCAGGGTTCTGGGTTCATATATATATTATAGAATCTATGCGTCTCGAGGAATCTCTTGTTTCTGTGATCTCGCCGAGCTTCTCTGTGGCTTTACGCAAACCAGGGTTGTCTCGAATAAACTTCACAGCATACTCCTGGCTGGTCACTTCTTTGGATATGTGTGAGTTCTGATTTTCATGGTCGTCTCTCAACATGTCCATCTCAGTGTTGGGAAATCTTGGCACGAAAAGATGTCTCTATATAACTATATATATATGCGGAATGTAACACGTACGTCGCTTCCACAAGTATCCGATGTTGGACACTGGTAACTCGGTGATTGAGTCCTTCCCACGACCTTTGGTATCAGAGCAGCGGAAAACACTGCTGAAGGAACCTCGGTCATAGCCATAGCAACTTAGATGCAGGTCATACGCGTACAGCCTGTGTTTGATGCTCACACGTTAGGTATCACACCACTGATCAGTGCTCCGAAAAGACGTCTGACTCCCGCAGTGGCACTCCAATCCTCAGTCACCTTTCTAGTTAGCTGGGGTACAAAAATTGAGAGGGAAATTGAAGGACAAACTCAAAACATATGGCAAATTATTGCAAACACTAGCACCTTTGTGGGACCAAGAAAGGCAGGATTGAGAAGTGCATCGTGTTTCAATGTGTTTCATATGATCAACAGCCACGCCTTCTTTGACCCATTCAGAAAATTCACTGAAACTCTTGGTGGTTCGTTCACATGTCCCGTTTCGTTCCCGCTTCGTCTGGTCCCTTTTTCCAAGCTGCCTCTGCCCAGGGGTCCTTCGACCAAAAATCGATTCTCAGGGCCACAAGGCTCACCTGCAAGCCGCTGCGTCGACAGCGTTCTGGCTTCCTCTTGGTCCGAAGCTGGATGATGTTCATCATAATTGGTTTGGCGTGACAAGGACTCAGAATTTATCAGAATCAGAAGCTAAAACCATCGAAAAGGCGCACAAACGCAACAGCTCTCCTTGATTCTGACTTGAAATAGCCATGTGTTTCTTGGAATGGTGTAGCTACCGAACCACTCAAGCGCTCTTTTTGGGTTTGGGCATCCTCAAGAATGCACGTCCTGAATCAGCTCATGGGGATCAAATGCCAGCGAAAATCGGTTAAGAGGTTGATGCTTTGTTGCGAAGGGATCATACAAATCAAAACGTGAAAATATGTCAAACATTCTTGTAAACATGGGTCTTCAACAATATTGCCACGCTGTATACAGAGTGGAGCCGGCCAAAGCTGGAAATTGGATGAATCATACAGCAAGAGGACGAGCAAGATGCTAGCCAGCCTTTACTTTGTTGGAATATGTTGGAATGATTGCCCAAGGCTGAATCACTCCACTGATGGTCGTGTCATTTCCGCAGCCGCCACTCCCCCAACTCCCCTTGGTTGAATTTGTGGTCTTCAACTTGTGGGCTGGCGAATGTTCAAACCACCCCAGGGCCTGCTGAAGGGCCTAGTTCTGGATGGTCTGGTGTATGTGCTGGGGGAGAGATCAACATGGCAAATAAGGCATCAAAAGGCCGAGCCAAGCTTAGACTAGATTCTTGGACACAAATGACTCTACACTGACTATTATCAACGAATCAACTCCATAGAAAGTTGCGCTTCAACCTCCAGAATGCTCACCGCTAGACTGGAGCGATTGCTCCAAGTCCACAGGAAAATATCACGGCCAAGAAGGTCACCTGAAAATTTGTTCACAACCAAATCTGAGACTTTGCAATAGCTCATAGATGCTCCTAGCTCCTTGAAGTTCTTCTAGGCCGATAAACAGCTGTGCCAATGTGGTGAGTGCGCTTGCCATGGGTCGTTCCCCATCTGCGAAACGGGCGGTGTCGCAGTCCTCTCGGATTGGGCTGTTCAGTTCTGTCATTGAAAACACATGCCAAATCGTGGTGCTAACAATCCTGTCCTTAAGTAAAGTCGTCCACTGTTCACTTGGTCCTGCGGCAACTGCCTCCAGCAAACAAAGCCTTCTAGAGCGAAGCCTCGGCCTCCCTACCGTTTCAACGGCCCTTTGGGCTTGCAGTGGTGTCTCTTTGGACACATGTGGCGCGGCATGGGAGAGGTATGTAGACAACTTTGGATGACTTCTACGTGCAGCTCACGCGGCAGCTCGCGAGGAAGAAGCCTAGGAAAGCTGTTCACATTCACAGTGTATGACAAACACAAGCACCAAAAACACGCTCCTTCAGAATCTTGTTCTTTCAGTCCTCCTACATGTACTGTATTCAAGCGTTGACAGACTGAGCCGGTGAAAAGGGGTTTCCCTGTCGCCTGGCCTTTGTGGGTGATTGCACACGGCTGGTCGCTGGCGAATAGGTCGGAGGCTGATTGGTTTCCAGTTGACGAGCAATTTGCCCTGGAACGTGCAGATCTGCATGGACATCGTTCCAAAGCCAATACATACAGTGAATTATTGTCTTATAGAACTTCCAGTTGCTTCCTGCGCCGAGGTCTGCCAAATTGATGTTTTCCAAGTTTGTCTCAAGTTTTTGACCCAAGGTACGGATATTCTGTCCAGGATTGCCCACCAAGCTTGAGTTCAACCCCCGCCGCCTGGGGCACGAGGTCTAGTCCGTCCAAACAAATGTACAGCTGAATTACTCACAAATCATAACTGTGAATACTGTGAGGTAAATCACCAGTCAATACCTCTCCCTTCTGGAGCAACAAAGCTGCTCAGCTCGACCAATACGTAGAATACCAGTTCCACAAATTGCTGACCTTTTCTCCCAAGTCACGGTGTCTCTGTTCGTGGCTGATCAGGCGTCCTGAGTTCAAGTGCAAGACTCTCCCACTTCAATTTTGGGGTGTTCGGCCATAAGCCACCCGTGACACACCCAAACCCTGATGGCACCAGAAACAACGTGTTCGCTAAATTTAATATTGCGAATTTTTCCTAGCCAAAAGAAGGCTGAGGGCGCGTCTTCATGATGTGAGAAATGCTAAACATGATGACATGAAGAAGCTACATACTCCTTCTTGGTAGTGTGAGCGACTTAATTTGCTTCTTTGAGTTCACTCTACCACTGTAGTCCATTTTCTTCCATTCAATTCTTGTCTCTGCAGGCTTATTATCACATCTCTAAGGAACGGCGTTCCCAAAGATTGGTGGTATCTCTGTTTGTGGTCTATGTGGAAGCTCCTCATGACTGTACATTCTAACAACTCTTGGTACTTCTCCATTTTTTTTGCCTCTTGCAATCCTCTACTCATGAGATTCCAGTGTCTTTCATGGAGTTGCTCAAGTTTTGCTTCAAGTCGACCACACATTTGGCTTGATTGTTCTGTTATATGTTGTTCTCTGATTGATATCTCCCTGTTTTCATCTTGAACATTCTATTCAATGGTCCTTCTGATGGAACTGCTCCATCCACAGCTGCCTACAACGTTACTCTGTGTCCCGAATACTGTCCTCTGTTGCCCTCATATCTTCTAAGCTCCTTCTGGCTAAGAAGTTTCCTGCGTTCAACCCTCCTAGCACATCATAGCTGAGAGTTGTTGAAGGTTTGGTAGTCTGGTACTTCATGTTGAATTGCAGCCTCCATTGAGACTCAATCCACAATAAATTTTCCTGGCGTAGTTAGGTAAAAGATTAATTTTCTCTTCATGGTTTTCTTCTTCGCAACTTCCAATCTTGCTTTCGAGTGTATCAATCTCCTTCTCACCTCTGCTGATTAGGGTCTCCAAATAATCAAATCTGAAGCGGCTTGAAAAGACTATATACACTGAAATAGCTGATCTGAAAGTGCTTGTAGATCTTGAAGAGTACCAAGATCGCTGTTGCAAAACCCTTTGATGCTGAACACAATGATCATGACAATCCAGAATTTCCATTCTTCATTGGATTTCTTCATTGCTTCCATTTCTCTTTCAAGAACGGCTCTGTAGCCGCTGAACGCAAGCCCTCAAACGCAACCATTCTGACAATCATTTTGGCAATCTTAGTGGCCTTTCCTGCCAAATTCCTCTTCTCTTCAAACACCCTTCTCTCATACTCTCCTACTCTGACTTGATCTTCACTGCGCCAATATGCAGTGAGGTTCATCAAGTAAGTGGCTTTGCGTTGATGCCTGCCATGTTGCTATCTGTTGGTACTTGTACCATCTTGAAGTCTTTCCTGTTCTGAATCCATAGCAACTTTCCATCCAAGTGCCTCACGTTTCCAACTCCTCTCTTCATCACAAGTTGGCTTGCACTCGAAGAATCTGTGAAGATGCAGTGGCCCACCTTTGCCCCAAGAGCAAACTCAAGAATTGCTCGAATGTAGCTTCCATCTGGCTAACTATTGCATGTAGTTCAGCTTCACGCGAAGATTTCTCGAAGATAAGTTAATGATATTCTGCGTCCCGCTGCTGTTGAACAATGGGCAACTGCTCAAATCATGGAATTCTCCTGATGTTGACTTTCTGTGGCTTTTGTTTTCCGCCAAGCACTAATAGCTTTCTCCTTTCTTGTCATATAGCCTTCTCCTGCTTGTGGAAGTTCAAGTACTAGACAATAGTCCATAGCCTTCTTCAAGTATCCTAGGACCTTCTTCAAGCGATGAAATGACATAGCCGTTGGATTTGACATTCTTGAAGCCACCTCCTTCACTCTACACGCTACATCATACCTCTCTTGGCATAGGTAGATACCTGATCCAACAATGCTTCTGAAAAGGCTAATCTTCTCTTGCTCACGCAAGACCTCTAACTTGTCTTCCATCTGAATTGAATTGTCTGACGGTAGTTGCTGCAGTTGATTAGGCCAATCTGATCCTCATAGCCCTTCAGCGTCTGCTGGATGTAGTTACCTGGTTGGATCCATAGTCCATCTTTCTCTAGTTTGCACTTTCTCCTCAGGAAGTTGAACTCGTCACCCATCTTCTCAATCTTGCTCACACTGGTGTCAAACCTCTCTTGAATCTCTAGAAGAAAGATCTCATTGGTGTACTTTGAGTCTCCTGTTAAAAGCATGCTCATTTCTTCCTAGGCAGTGACACTCAGCGCTGAACTTGTACTTGAGTTCCTCAGTGACGTACTCTGCGAAAAAGTCAACCCATGCTTTTGCTCCAACTCTCTGTCCAGGTCAACTCCTCTTCGCCAAAAGTTCCTCCTCTCAGGTTCACTTTCAATGTTTTTTCTTGTGGGTCCTGCAAGAATGCGTCCTTCACATCAAGACATCCAAGCATCTGTGAGAATGCTCCTTCTCCCTCTCTTGCTTCTTCCTTTTCACTGACTCTCTGCAAGAATATTGTGGGTAGAAGCTTCCGTACATGTCCTGAAGTCTCTGGTGAGAAAATGTCATCTCTCTCCTTCAACGAAAGCAAAACTTTTTGCAACTAGTCTTGACCTTCTCTTCCACCTTTTGACTCTTGACTGTTATTCCATCTCCAAGTTGATATGGCTTGTTTCTCCAGTCGTACACATTGCGAGTTGCCAGGTAACTGATTCCTTGCGCTGCCTTTTGGTTTCTCTAGCACCTGCATCTTTTGGAGCCTTTTCTCTTTCACTTCATCAGCAACTCGGGTCTTCTTCTGGTTCATGTTCTCCACCGCACCAAAAGCATTCAGTTCCTTTCACCTCTTCCAAGTCTGACTCACCTCCTTCTTCTACCCAGTCTTCTTCAACAACTTCTTCTGCAACTGGGGATAGCTCTTCTTCCCAATTTTTACCAAATTGATCTTGGCATTCTTGCTTGAGTCATCTGATGGCCTGAGCTTCGTCGTTGGAGTTTCTTCCTCAAGCAATTCAAATGCTTCCCTTGGTCTCGACGGCGCTGATGGTGATCTCAATGAAGATAGTATAGGAGTAATTGGATTAGGCTGT